GGGACCAGTTAGGCTCATTGTTATGGCCACAGCTGGAACTTTTTTTTTTTTTAAAGATTTTCTTTTCTTTTTTCTTTTTAATTTATTTATTTATTATGTATACAGTGTTCTTCCTGCATGTATGCCTGCAGGCCAGAAGAGGGCATCAGATCTCATTATGGATGGTTGTGAGCCACCATGTGGTTGCTGGGAATTGAACTCAGGATCTCTGGAAGAGCAGCCAGTGCTCTTAACCGCTGAGCCATCTCTCCAGCCCCTCACAGCTGGAACTTTTTGTGCCCTCCCATGTCATATCTCATGTTACCTAGGTAGCCCCAAATGGTGTTAGCTCATTCAAAGTTTTCTCTTTCAAGCCATGCTGTGTGTGGGAAAGGGCTGTTGTTACCAGCTTATCCTTAAATCCTCCCAACTGCAGCTGCATGGAATCCCCATGGCGTTCTCCTACGGGACTCTGAAGATGCTTTGTAAACGGCGATGTGTGTGACAGATATGCAGCAGCGCTCCTGTGAGCTACTGAAGGCTATTACGCCCAGGCCAGGGGTGTCTCAACCCAGACCCATTTTAAGAGGCTTGGATTCTGAGAACCACTGAGCTTGCCATTTAGGTCCTAATCTAGCAGGAAGCGCAGACTGTCCAGTGTCTACAGATGGCACTCAGTGTGCGAATGGGTAGAAAACAGGTGTCTCTTCCCTTTACCAATGAAGCTGGTCCTCTCCTAGCTGCCGCTGCAGGAGACCCAGAGGGGACATTCAGCCTTCATTCCACAAGTGACAAGGCTCTGTCCCCCATTTAACATTAACGACTTAAAGGTTGACAATAGCCTAGGGACCAGGGACAATGATGTAACTTCTGCAGAAAGACAAGTGTGGTACCTGGCATAAGCACCCCCTTGGTGACAGTGAAGGAAGGTATGTTCCTAGCCATGGCTCTGCTGCCCATGTGGTAATCTTCAGCTTTGGGGGACACAGAGCTGCACAGGAAGCACAGTGACATGAGTCACAGAGAATAGACTACGGTGGTCCAGATCCAGGCTGGTCTGGATTAGCATCTATTAAACTGGATGATTCAGTGGAAAGAAATCTCTAAAACCGAATTCACAAACATGCCTATCTCAGGTCACCTCGGGCTGTGTGGTGTCCGTGTGCCTCACTGGGGAGCAGCAGCATTCCAGTGTCCAGGTGACCCTGGACCCCAGGACATCTGTGAGCTGTGTGGAGAGACGTCTGTGGAGGAGCAAGTGCAGGTCCTAGCTTAGCGTAGCCTCTTCAGCTAATGTGGAGCTTTGGAGCCAGCTGCCGAGCTGCTAAAGGATCATGTGTTGTGTGAAGAGCGTGGTCAGTTTGATTGGTCAAGCACTTGGATAGGGGTGCTAGATTTGCATATTTTTAATGGCACAGTAATACTTGTTCGTAATACAGGACACTTAATTTAAGTGTTTAGCCTTAGGATAATGATGCATTCGTGTAGAATAGTCTTTTCCCAGAGTTATTCACTGTTAAACTTTGCATGTTTTTGATGGTTTACTGTGTGTTTGGATGTGTTGTTGTTGCTGTTCATTTGACACAGAACCACGCATGTGCAGATTGCTCGGATAGGACCTTTGGCACCTCACACTTGTGTTTTCCATCCTTTCTCTCCCAAAAGAGCAATAACCCTGAATTTTACATCATGCAGTTCTGTTTTCCTTTATAGTTTTGCTATAAGCCTATGTACTTTTTAAACTCAATGTGAATGAATTTCACTCTCTCCAAGATAAGTTGTTGCTGTTCAGTTTCATTTGTGCATAACTGTAATTATTTGCACTTGTGTGGTGTTCCATCTTAGAAAGATGCTACGGAGCGTTAAACCATTCCCTTGCTGAACATGGGGATTTCCCCGGCACATTTCATCTGCTGGCATGCACGGGGCTCCTCTAGGATGTGGTCTCAGGAGAGAAAGACAACATGGTAAGATTTGTGAATCATCAGCTCAGGTGAGCTATGTCAAGAGCTTCTCCATAATGGCTTGGTTCCTCCCTGCACCATGTCATGGACAACATTTGGAATCGTCAGATGCTCTCGGTTTATTTGAGGTAGTGGATGGGAATGAATGTGCCACAGTGCTTCTCACTTGCACGCTCTGACTAATAAGATTATATATTTTCATATGGTTGTTGGTCAAGTACGACTATGTGTGTTGTCTGCCTGCTTTCCAATAGTTCACAGATGTCTTTATCCATTCACTTCTATGTGTCCATGTGTCCATCTGTACTTGGTACTTGTAACCCCAGCCCTGAGAGGCAGAGACAGGTACATCTCTGGGGCTCACTAACCTGTCAGCCGAGCCTGCTCGAACTCCAGGCTGGTGAGAGGAATGATGGCTGAGGCTGTTCTCTTACTTCCACATGCACATGCACACACACACACACACACACACACACACACACACACACACACACACACGGAGAGAGAAAGGAGCTAGTCCAAAAGTGTGAATATTAGAAAAACAGGTGTGAACATGAACACAGTGGCAGGCTGCCATGGTTCAAGTGGCTGGACTGAAATGGTAGGTGATGCTACATCTAAGGAAGAAAGATGTGCTCTTGGTCCCACCTCAAGTCCAAGTTGCTGCCTTTACCTGCTGTCTCTAATTCCTGTTCCCCATGAGGATGGATGGGCCAGGTGCCAGGTGGCCTCGTTCATGTTCTCCCATCACAGCACCAGGAGCACCAGGCCATGATGGGGACCTCCTGGCAGATCTGTTCCTTACTCTGAGGGTACCCTCCACCCTCTGAGGAAGAGCATAGCTACAGAGGCCTCCCCCGGGCTCAGAGGTGTTGGCTTTCCCTCCAGCTCTGGTTCAGCACTCCAGATTAGAGGAACAGAAAGGAAAAGCAGCCCCTCCGCTGGGATCCACAGTGGTTGCGTCTTATATTTTCCCATCAAGAGCCTTTCTTGGAGCTCTTAGGCTTTCTCCCGTCCCCTTCAAGTTGCACCTTAATAAAAAGCCTCCTAAAAACTGAACTATGTGATGTGGGCTCCAATCCCCATAACCTTATAACTGTAACCCTTTGGCACACTGGTCTAGGGAAAATATTACAGCCGTCTCTCCCCAAAGGACACTTGGCAATTTTGGAGACATTTTTGGTTGCTACTGTGGGTAGTGGTAGAAGGGTGTTATCATCCTAAAGAGGGTAGAGGCCAGAGATGCTGCTAACTGTCTTACAATGTGCAGGAAAGCCCCTGTGATAAGAATTACCCGGTCACGAATGTCAGCAGTGGCCAGACATAGAGGCCCCGATCCTTCTCCACCTTACTACCCAGGATTGGAAACCACAGTCCCTGACTTCCCTGTGGGGACTCCCAATTACATGGCCCTTCTTCTGGAGGTAGCTTTTCTGACATATTGATAAACGGATTCCTACCGCTGTACTGGTCATGGGAGAAGGGACTGGAGATTTTGCAACCGAGTTGAACACTTTTCTCCTCAGAGGGTCCTACTTCTGATCTGGATGCCAGTTCATGTGACAGTCTGCGACAGGGTGACACGCATATAGATGGCATGGATACCGACAACAGCTCTTCTAAACATTATGGACTTATTGTATGTTATTAAGTAGTACTACACAGTACTGCCTTCTGGTACTCAGATTTCCCTCAGGTAACAGACGCTGCTGGCCCCACTCTGCAGGCTCTAGGCTCTGTGTTGCCTGTACAGTGACTCGGAGCCTGTGCCCTTAGCCTTGGAAGCTCGCCAGGACGATGCTCATCAAAATGCAAGATCCTGGGGCCCCCTCTTGGGGTCTTCTCTGACTGCACAGGCACGGTAGACCCTGAGAGTCCGTGATTCTAGCCAGCAGTAGAGGCTGCTCTATAGTAAGCTATCCAGGGCCCACCTGTAAGAACCAGTGGTAGAAATCACAAAATTCTCTCGGCCTAACGCCAGGCTTGAGAATTCAATGTGGTAATTTTCTGTATCTCTGAAAAAAAAATCTAACATGTATTCTCTCAAGTTTCCCATTTTCAGCTGAAACGTGGATGGTCAGGGAGCAGGATGCCTTTACACAGGAGAGGTGGGACATTTCCATGGGAACAGAGGCATGGGCATTTTACCTTAAAAGTGGATTTGGATAACTTAGAGTGAACATCAAGCACAGGTGTTTGTATGGACAGGAGAGAGAGCTCTTGCCTGCTCCTCATCTCTGAACTGACCTCAGTACACAGTCCCAGCTTTGTTTGGTAATGTGGTCTCTCGGTCACCAAGATAAATGGTTCCTTTGGTTACTTCCAGTTGAATTTCAAAGCCCCTTCTCTGACCTGCTTCCCATTTGTGAGTTTTCAGTGGACCAGTCATTTTAACACACCAACTACCATGCAGCCTAAACTTCCCTCCAAGTAAAGTCCTTCCAAGCTGTTGCAAGACCTCAACACTAATGTCTAAAATCAAGAAGTTGCCTTACTATGTAGATTGTGTGTGTGTGTGTGTGTGTCTAACATAGTCAATCACTTTCAGCCCAATCACTTCATCTGACTGTGATCAATTAAAAAGTAAAAATTAATAATAAAAGAAACATCAGGTATGCAAACCATGTCAATAATCCCAGCACTGAAGAAAAGCAGAAGGGTCTCTGTGAATCTGAGTTTCTATACCAAGTTTCAGGCCAACTAGAACTACATAGCAAGACCCCCATCTCAAAAAACAAACAAACAAAAAGACATCTATATGATAGCAAACAACAGATTCGAGCTAATGTATCATAGTTGTCGTTAGAGGAAAACGGTATGAACTGAGGGCCAGAACGTCTCAGGATGCTCTAAAGTGTGTCTCTTTCACCTCTCCTGAGCTCTCTCACATTCTGTTCCTCTAGAACGCTGTTCTCATACTTTAAAAGTCGCTATGCTCTCACCTCATTTTCCACGTCTCCTTTTTAGTCTAGGTAGCCCCCTCATTGGCCGCTGGGCTCACAAACGCGGCACTCCCTTAAATTCACTCGTGGGTGAATCACTTCAAAATACTCCAATCTCTGTGCCCTTACTGAAAGCCATCCAACAGAGAGACGACTTTCCAAGCCAGAAACAACTCTACAGACACGTGAACAAAACCTCAATTTTGTATACGAGGCACAGCCTAAGACCACCCAAGTTCCCTTGATCCACGCAGCCCACCTCTGGACAGGAGAGACCCCTTCCAGCATGCTGAAACTTCAGTCAACACATCAACCTGGATGCAAATCTCCACCCAGCTCGGCATTGCTGCTTTTACCCACGGAGGGCTCACAGCCCAGCATGCAAATAGTGGGTGCTCAAGCATAAGAACCCCCCGAGGTAAGGACCTGGACCTGACCTTACCTATTTTCGCAGCCTCCGCTTTCAAGTTGAAATCCCAGTTCCTTGGCAGCTTCAGGGACATTTTGCTTCCGATTTGGGTGAGTAAGCGGGTCAAGTGAGTGGCCAGCGAGCCACAGTGTGTGCTCTTCTTGCTTTCTTCTGCTCTTCCCTTCAGTCCATCCGTCCGTCTTCTCTGCCTGGTGATTGCTCCACAGGCACTCTTACGTGCCAGGCTGATCTGCCCACGTGTCTCTTCCTTTCTCTCAGATGAAAGGTCCATCCATCTGTCACTTGGGGATGGCACCCAAGCTCCCCTAATCCCACCCACAGTCCCCCGGGGCTGGCACCCTGCTTTGCGTTCAGTTTTACCAGAAACAGCCCAGTTGACGCTTTGCTCGGAAGAATCTCAGGCCTTGCCGAAGCGAAGTCGTGATAAACAACAGTCTCTGCGTTTTTTTTGTGTGTGTGTTTTTTTTTTTAAACTGTCTGCTTCCTTGCATTTTGAGGAAGTGGGTGGCTGTTCAGTGTTGTGGCGTTATGAGTACACTTTCTTCAGAAGACATTTAGAAATTTTGTCAAGCTAGAGCCTGTTTGTGATATAAGACTGTGGTTTTAGTTAAAAAAGAAAGAGAATCCCAAGGCTCTCACCGTGGGCCTCGACTCCTCCTTGCCACAAACCATCAAAAATGGTCAGGCCGGCAGCCAGCTTTCTGCCCAAGTTACCGTCTTTAAAATTCTTGCTGTGTAAGGACCACACAGCTCTCACCTGCTTGAGATAGAGGTTCCTAGTGACCTCCATCTGATGCAAGGAGAGTTTTCATGCACTCAGCTGGTAAGTTGGTTCCAGCTAGGCAGAAGCATGCAAAGGGTTAACGCTTCTTCCACTTTGTGTACACAGGGTGCTGTTTACAACCAGACCAACAGTTAAAAACTCAGGTTTTCCTTCCCCTTTGAAAGAATCTTCCTGGGCCTCCACGTCTTCTTCAGAAAAATGGATCCTTAACGACCGTGGGTGTTCAGAGGCCTCTGGTACAGATTTCTGACACACGGTAGTTACCCCACAAACACTAACTGCAACCTTCGTTCTATCTAGTTCAGCTTGTGGTGGGCTTTTATATCTTTAACTCGGTCGGCTTCACCTAGCAGTTAAGCTTCTCGGCCCTAGAACCAGATTGCCTGTGTTCAAATCCCAGCTTTACCATGTGTTTGCTGTGAGACTTTGGGCCTGTTCCTTGACTGCTTCCTGTTTCAGTGCCCTCATCTGTAAATGCAGCCATTCACAGAGTGACTTCACAGGCTGCTGCGGAGGTTTCTGCAGACACCAGGCCTCTCTGCATAATCACTGCATACACGCCACACATCCAGGTCCCTTCACTTCATCGTCCTGGACAACCCGGAGAGCATTTTCCTCACCTCTCACAGCTATCTACTGAGGACCCAGTCTCCTGCTCCCTGTTGCATGAGCCGCCTCCCCTATCCCCCAGCTCAACGTCATCACCTCTTTCTTCTTTCTCTTGAATGTTTCCTGTCAATATTAGCATTACAGAGTTTTCTTCACATCTTCAGGAAACTCTCTTAACACCTCTTCCTCCTTTGGCTGTAGCCTGATTTTGAGTTGTTGTTTTTTAAATAAGGACTGTTGAACTTGCTGTTTTCTCTCCTCTTTTTCTTTCCTGGATTCCTCCTTTGACACTCTTGCTTCCTAGAATGGCTTCTCAAGAACACCAACGGCTCTCCTGTCCCTAACCTGGCAGGCCAGGTCTCTATCCTCTCCTCACTGGCCTAACAGCGGAGTCGGACATAAGAGCCCCCCCAACTTGGCACACAGCTCCGAACGTTCTCTCTCTCTGCCCGTCAGGGTCTATGGCTGGCCTGGTTTTCTGTTTCCTTTCCTTCTGCTCTATTTCTGGTTCCTCTGATTCCTTCTCCTTTCTCTGGTCTGCAAATCATGATTTACACCAGGATTCCACCAGTGGACTTCCTTCTCGTCTTTGTCGCCTTGACAACCTTGGCTGCCCTGAGACTTTCATTATCCCACACCGTATATAACGACCCCTCTGTGAGTTCCCAGAACAGGCCACTTTTCAATTCCAAATTATGTACATCTTTGCTTAGATCTCCAAGAGTCAACACATACTAATCCAAAGTCAATATCCGAGGACCGAACACAGTGACCCAGAGCGTGGCCTTCTCACTAGGAACTAAAGGAGTATATGAGCCAATAAATGCATTTCAGGCCTCTGTGCTCAGCTTGTCTGCTTACATTCTACTGGCCCACATGAGTCACATGACCAAGCACAAAGTCACTGAGACAGGAAGTACGCATAGCCCTAAGAGGAAAGGGACTACCCCATTTACCTGGCTGTCACCCAGTACTACAGGAGTGCTGGGTTCCTTAACTTTGGCTCTGACTCCTGAGGACTTTGAAGCCTCAGATCTCCACTGCATCCTGCCTAACCTAACACATTATTCCTTATCCAGCCCTAAAAAAGCTGACAACCTCCTGAGCACCATCCCCGGCAGCTCCATGGGGAACTTGACATCCAAAGTTTCAGTCCTGGGATCTTTAACTTAGGAATTCTGAAGACATTCTGAAGGAGGCATTTAGAGACATATGGGGAACTTCCTGGACTCTTTGGGGTGAGTTCCTGCGAGTCTTGGAAAAACATATGACCCATGGGGAAGTTGCTGTGCACACTCAGAAAGTCAATCAGCAAAAGCAGCCGCCACGCCACGGAAAGGCTGCTCGTGGCAGCCCTGGAGGCCGACGCTGGGTGTCAGCTCCTGAGTGGGGGTAGAGACCTGACGGAGCTTCTGCTGCACCCTCTCTGACCTTTAGAAGATGAAGAACCAGATGTCGTGGTTAATAGTAAAGTTTGGGTTAACGTCGGCAATAATGAAAGCGAGCATCCGGGTATTTGTCTGTTAATGCTAACCGTTTTTTAAGGACCTATACTTTTTGCTGGAGGAAAGCTCGTGAACAAGCGACTTGGTTTCTGCCTCTCTCTTTCAGCTCTCTTCTCCCACCTCCCAGATGCAGCTAATAGGAAGAAGGCCAATGTAGAAGAAGCTAAGTAGAGCATGGGAAGGGATATGATGGGGAAGTGCAGGGAGCTGTGAAAGTTCATGGGAGGGGCGTAAGCGGGACTCACAGGAAAGGGGGCCGGCTTCCTGAAGCAGGCTCTCTCACACTCTGACTTGACAAATGTGTTAGAGAGATGAGAAGGCTTCCAAAAGGACCAGCTGTGGCGGCTCACACGCCTGTAATCTGAACACTGAGGCTGAGGGAGGCAGACTGCCCTGAGTTTTTAAGAGCCAGATCCCTTCACAAAATGAAAAGGGGGGAGGGGAGCAGGGAGAGGGGAGATGGGGTGGGGAGAGGGAGACAGGGTTATAAAAAGCTCTCTAGAACAGTATAGAAAGAACTCCTCCGCTTGCTCCTAGGCTGCTGAAAAGTGTGAAAGGAATGAGCTAGAGGAGAGATAGGCGGGGTCGGAGGGTGCTGTAGGCAGGTCCCAGAAGGCACTGGTGAAGTTTTGTCTTCTTTCAGGTAAATGGGGATCTCCAAGGAGTCTTCTTCAGCTTGGCAGAGTGAGGAGGCTGAACCCAACACCCCAAGTGGGAGGACAGAAGGGAGAAAGGTTGCACAAGGAAAGAAGAGAAAACACACCAGAGCCTCTGATGGAAATGAGAACCCTGAAGGTTCTTACACAAGAAGCGGAGACGCTCCGACCCTGACTCCAGTGACTGACTGGGGTGGTGGCAGTTCCCACCACAGAGAAGGGGTATGCCCAAAAGGAAAGAAGCCTGACGTGGGGCCGGGGACGAGGAGCTGTGGACTCGGTACAGTTCCCGGCACAGAAGTGGGGCTCCACATGACGGAGACAGCAGTGGCCGGGCCTGTTTGGGGGCCAGGGTAGCTTCCCTGGAAATGAGACCACAAAAGTGGTTAGGAAGCAAGGGTGCAGGGAGGAAGCCACTGTCCACAAAAGAAACAGCAGTGGCCAGTAAAATGTGTCCCCCACCGTGTGCAATCAGGGAAGCATCAAGAATGGTCAAAGAACAGGGTGGCCAGAGGTCACAGGGAGACCTCAGGCACGTCTGAGGAACTGGACTTTTTTTTTTGGAAAGGCCTCACTGTGCAACTCTGGCTGGCCTGGAACTCACTGTGTAGACCAGCAGGCTGGCCTCTAACTCTTCTGCCTTCCAAGTGACAGGATTAAAGGTATGTGTCACCATGCCACACCCAACAAGGTGACAAAATTTCAAACATGCCTTGCCTTTTACTGTGATTACAGAATCCCGTGAGTGTTCTTTGTAGACATTTTAAAGAAGAATAAACAAAAATGGCTGTGTCCATGTCACGTGGATAGTGACACCTCTTGATGTAAATACAGTACCCCTACCGAGTTCCTGAAACTTCAGATAGCGTGAATCCCTTCCTCTGCTGTGTTTTGGTTCTCTGTGTGCATGCTTACAATGAGGTCTAGTCTATGACTGACGTATGGTGAGAGGTCGCACTGCTCCTAGCTCTAAGATAGGACAACCACAGCGAAAGCTCTGCCACTCCAATGTTCAGGAGCATTGCTAATGATCGACAGCCCCCTGGACACAGCACAGAGTACCACAGCTGATGGAGACAGCCAAGCTGACCTTGTGGGTCACTACCTGACCAAGCCCTCACAGTCCTCAGAGGCTGGAACAAGGGTCCCTGTGGACATACATGTGAGAAAAGTGAAAGCTCTGTACCCACATCTCACTCCAGAGTAAGCGAATGTAGCCTGATGTCGAATGCAGAAGGATCAAATACATGTCAGCCCGTTGCCCCAGCTCGTTTGTATTTCACTCCTAGCTCCTGCAGAGATTAAAGGTGGCCCTTGTATTGTGGGGACACCTGACAGCGGGGACACAACTGTAGAGCCAATGCCATGTGTTAGGGGCTAGCAGCTGCATCTGGCCACCTTGCATTACTGACTTAGAGCATGTGTCTTCTGAACTGTGGTGGAGACACCAAAAGCAACAGCCTTTTCCCTTTGGATTTGAACAGACTAGCTTCAAGAAAGCTGGGATTCTAAGGTAGGAGGTGCTAGTTTTTATTCTCTTTCCCTTGGCTATATGGAAAAAAAAAAACATCAGGAAACAAGAATAAAATCCCACTGTGTTGCAGAGGAAGATTTCTGCCCTCTGAACACTGTGTGGCCACCAGGAACAGCCTCCTCAGCTCTACCCCAGAGCCTTGTTCCTCCTGCCCTGCCATGTCTGTCTCATCACTGACCTACACTATTTCCCCAGCTTTGGGTCTAATGTCTGGTCAGTTTTGTGGCCAATTAAACTCTAATTTCTCTAACTAATCCATAGCCAAGAAAAATTATACATGGGTTGTGAAGGGCAGCAGTGGCAGTTCTGCCTCTGATAAGATAGTCTTCTAGAAGAAGGTAGCTCTGTGGGCCACAGGGTTAGGGAGAGAGATGCCTAGTTAAGTGAATAACTTGTCACCAGATTGAAAACAGATCTTGATGTTTTAAGATGATGAAAATGCCCCTGCCACACAGCCCTCTTGAACCAATTATTGGGTTGCGACCTATAAGGCCGAGCCATACAAAACTGCCAATATTCAGCAGCTTTTGACCTGTATTTCCCTCCCCTCAAAATTTGCAATGGTTCAGTGGGATTGGGCTGTCTGCAATCCACTCATACAACAAATACGAAGTGAATCTCTCCCCCCGTGGTGCCACAGACGCCAGCTAGGGGCTGAGAATGCAGTCAGCAGCAAGAGGGGCAAAGTCTCCTGCTTCCGGGAGACTTATTGTAGTGAGAGGAGACAGGTAATAAACCAAATAACAGAGTGCAGGGTGTTAGCCAGTGGGGAATCCTTGGGGAGAAAGACATGCTGTATGAGGAGGGAGGCTGGTTAGGTTGCTGGGAGAAGGAGCAAGATGGCGTGTTTTTAACTGGCTGAATGCTGGAGACTTCGTGGACGTGATAGCATTTGAGAAAAGACCTGACAAAAGAATGAGACAAGTACACACGTGGACAAACCTTCAGGCAGAGCAAAGGGCAAGCAAGGAAATGGGCCTTCTGAAGAGGTGGGCATGAGCTGGGGGGGTTCCGGGGGCAATGGGGAAGCCAGCTGTGTGTCTGGGACCGAGAAATGGGAAGACCTGTTGTCAGCCATCTTCCACCCTAGTGGGTGGGTCTACCATCTCCTCCTGTGCGCTTGGTTGGGCACTGTCTTAGTTGGGGTTTCTATTGCTATGAAGAGACACCATGACCACGACAACTCTTATAAAGGAAAACATTCAATTGGACTGGCTTCCTGTTCAGGTTCTGTCCAATATCATCATGGAAGGAAGCTTGGTGGCATGCAGGCAGACATGATGCTGGAGAGGCAGCTAAGAGTTCTACATCTGGATCAACAGGCAACAGGAAGAAAGATATGGGCCTGGCTTGAGCATCTGAAACCTCAAAGCCCACCCCCAGCGACACACTTCCTCCAACAAGGTAACACCTCTCCAACAAGGCCACACCTCCTAATAATGCCACTCCCTATGGGCTTATGGGGCCCATTTTCATTCAAACCATGACAGGCAATATCCATTCCACATTGGCACACCATGGTACAACAAACAGTACCAGTCCTTAAACAGGCTGGGACAAGCGGGGCAGAGAACTAGCTTGTATTCTGTAGTCTCTCATCTATGAATTCGAGCCTATGATCCACAGAAGGGCAAGGGATTAGAAAAGTATTTGGAATCACAAAAGACTAAGGGGGTTTTGGATGCATAAGCCATCATAGTGCACCCAACCACAGACAACCAAGACCTGCAGAATCCCTGCTGAGACCAACAGAATATAATGACTGGAAATCCCACAGGCATCTGATTGACAGAGATGTACTGCTTGCTAGTGAAGTGGTTTATGATCGGCTCCACGGGGGACCTTCTACTTCTTCATTCCTTCTGGGACATCACGTAACAATGCACGTAAACAATCATTGACATTGCCTCCTCAAAAAGAAAACCACAACTACCATGGCCGGAGTCCCTCTGGTGAAGCCCGGACCAAGAATGCTTCTCTCTAGCTTGGAGAGTAAGGAACCTCTGTGTCTGCGAGCCTGCTTGTGGGTGTCTGCACTGAGTCACACTTGCCCTTGTGTGTGCTTGCACAATGCTCTGCAAAGTTGTATTTGAGCACCACTGAGCCCACAGGTGGTCTGGAAGGTTGGGAGTTCAGAAACCTGAGAGAAGATGAGAAATTAGAGACCAGGAGTCTGAGGACAGACTTCTAGGGCTCACATCTTCTTCCCTCACTCAGCTTGCGTCCTGCATGGCACAGGGATGCTGACTAAACTTTCTAAGCTCTACTATTTCTTTGTGCAACAGTGAAGTGATTGTCTCTTAGACTTGCTGTTCTCAACCTGTGGGTTGTGATCCCTGTGGGGGTCAAATGGCCTTTCCACAGGGGTCACCTAAGACCATCTGAAAACAGATATTTACATTACAATTCATAACAGTAGCAAAATGACAGTTATGAAGTAGCAACAAGAATAATTTTATGGGGAGGGGGTGCACGCCTTTAATCCCAGCACTCAGGAGGCAGAGGCAGGCGGATCTCTGTGAATTTGAGGCCAGCCTGGTCTACACAGTGAGTCCTGGGACAGTTAGGGCTATTACACAGAGAAACCCTGTCTCCAAAAACCAAAATAATTAATAATAATAATAATAATAATAATAATAATAATTTTATGGTTGGGGGTCACCACAATATGAGGAACTATTTTAAAGGGTCACATCATTAGGAAGGTTGAGACCCACTGTGTTAGAGCTCCTTGGGTCAAGTGAGATATTCCACGAAAAGTACTAAACACGGTGCACGGCATGTTAGCAGGCTCTGAATGTGCATTAGACGAGAAAACAACACTGGCTGGTGAAATTATGAATCACGAAGATCCCTGTGAGTTCCTCTGTGTGTGACTTCCTCCTCTCCAGCAAGCTACAGTGTGCCATCTCCACTCCAACTGGAGGAAGACAGTCTGCCCTTCCGTTTTCCCACCAAAGCCACCCTGAACCAGACGCCAAAGGCCATATACGGGGAAGAGGAAGGGCGGGCGCTGTCCGTTCACGAAGCACTGTGGCGCTGAGGTGCTTGGGCGGTGACTGCTTCTAGACCACAAACCACCGGTGTGGTTTAAGGCTCCCTTCCTTGCCAGCCCAGCGGCCTAGCACATGTGCAGATAATGACAAACCTGACTTGATTTACTTGGACAGATTGGGTGAGAGGGTGTGGGATGTCAGGAGGGAGACAGCCAAGCTCTGTCAGAGACGGGAAAGAGACCTGAGCTTCAGAAATGCAAGTTTAGAATCCCGTCTCCCTCAGGCTCCACAGTGAGGAAATCCAGTGCAACATGTGGAGAGCTGCATTCCTGTTTTGACAAAGGGTCTCATGCGGCCTAGGTTGACTTTGAACTTCCTATGTAGTTAAGGATGATCTTGAACTTCTGATTCTCCTGTAGCACCAGATCCAGTTTAGGTGGGGCTGAGTCTTGAACCCAGAGTCTTGTGCTGCTACCAACTAAGCTGTGTACCCAGTCTCTGGAGATCTATGTTTTGTGGGTTTTGTTTTTTGTTTTGGCTTTTGTTGTTGTTTGTTTGTTTAAAGATTTTGTTAATGTGTATGAGGGTTTTGCCTGCACATATACATCATGCATGCCCAGGGCCCTTGCAGGCCAGAAGAGGGTACAAGATCCCCTGGAACCACAGTTACAGACAATTGCAAGTCACCATGTGGGTGCTGGGAACTGCACCCCAGTCCTCTGAGAGATCAGCAGATGCTCTCAGCTCATGAGCCAACCCCAAAAACTGTGTTGTAAAGACAAATCTGGACCGTTGAGCACCAACTTTACAGTCCTGAGGTCAGGCGATTCAGAGCTCCGCCAGAACAGGAAGTACAGCAGCTGATTCTAGAGCTGATATGAAACTCTGAGGTTCAAGTTAGGTAACTACACACAGGACAGGCCTGCTGGGTGGTGGAGGGCGAGCAGGAGCAGGGAATTTCACAGGCTGGGAGGGGCAATGCATTGGCTGCAGACACTCAAGCGCCTTTCCCCTCTTGCAGACACTGTTCCTCCTACTTTACAGAAGCATCTGGGACAGAGGAGCAATTTGTTCATAGGTCAGGTCAGAAGTCTGTATTTTGTTGGAAAATTTTAGGGACCCCTAAAAATAATCAGTATGATCCCTGAAACATACAATATGCAATATGATATGAAAGGAATTAATTTGTGGCTGTTAGTTCTGATGGTAAAAAGAGCAAATGTTTTTTAGTCATTTTGATAAAATAATCCTACCACAGTTTATCCATTATGCAAA